GCGTGTGCGTGTGCATGTGAGTGTGTGTGTTTTGGGTGGGTGTGGGTGTGGTTGTGGGTGTGGGTGTGCGTGTGGGTGTGCGTGTGTGTGTGCATGTGCATGTGAATGTGCATGTGAATGTGCATGTGAATGTGCATGTGCATGTGCATGTGCCATGCGTCTGCGCCCACCAGGCCATGCATCTAGCAGGCCATAGCAGAGCCTACGGAGTCCTTGCTCGTGGAATAAACCAAGTGGAGGTGCGTGAATGGTTTTTGTCTTTGATTCAACCCTTTTAAGCCACTGCTCCTTAGGACGCATCACAATTCAAACATCGATCCTGCAAGGGATCGATGTGTGAGTGTACAGTAGATGTGCGAATTTGCGAATTTTAGGGTATCATGCTTTCGTTAGCTTTCGTGTAAGCTCATGTCACAATAAGATCGTCCATTATCGAACCGCCACCGCACTGAAATCCCGCTTCAAACATTCACAACGCTCAGAAACAGTAAGAACTCCGCCAAACATGGATCCTCCAGGGCGATCGTGTCCCACGCAGGTTGAAACCTGGCTGTTGCGATCGATGCATCTCACGATTTCAGTGTGTGGTCCCGATCCCCATCCGGTGTTTCAATTGTGACGCGTCCTTCGGTCTCTCCCGCAGGACTATTACTCCCCTTACAGCTCTCATCCCTTGCACACCTCTCATCCCGGGCAGCACCATCAACTCCTCCTTCTTTACTTTTTGTTCTTCATTTTCCCTGCTTTCTTCGCTCTGTGTGTGATCAGGAGACAAGAAAGCTGTACGAGGCAAAGAGGTAAGTTGCCCATTGCTCTGTTCACGCACCTGCCACCCTCCTGTGCTATCATCTGTTGTTCCTCCCTACCCGTGCTTGCATCTGTGCCTTTTTGTCCGCCTTACATCTACTCAGGTTCACTCCCTTCCCATTCCCACTCCGCGATCCCACATTCTTCCCTCGTCTTCTCTCCCCCGCCTTCGTTCTGCTTGTCCTCTCACACGCTCACTTGCTAACTCAATCCCCCATGCCGTCGCAATGGATCTTCCCGACTCTTGCTTCTTCTGACGTTTCTTCACACGGGTCTCTTGCAGGCGCACTTATGCGGAAGCCAGAGCAGCAGCGCGCACCCATGTACCATCCCCTGCCACCACACGCATTGGATGCTCTGGGGGCGGGGGCGGGGGGGCGGGAGGGGGAGGGGGAGGAGGAGGGGGCGGAGCTAGTTCCGCATCTGCAGCAGCAGCAGGCGGAGCAGGAGGGGGGGGAGGGTCGGCGGCAGTGGCGAGAGCAGCAACAGTTGGCGAGACAGACTGGGAAGGAGGGGCAGCGCGAGGCCGGGGCAGGCGAGAGCCAGAAGAAGGGGGAGAGATGAGGAGGAGGAAGAGGAGGAAATGAGCGAGGAGGAGCGGGCAGCCAAGGAGGAATTTGACGAAGTAGCCATGACTCTCGGGTGCAGGATACTTGCCTTAGAGCAGAGGCGGCCCAGGGCGTTACTCTCTCAGGTGGTGAGGCACCACGTGGCAAAGAGCCGGCTGCTGAGACGGTCTCAGCTGCAGCTGGGGCAGCTGGATGGGATCATAGGGTATCTTGTGGAGGAGCTGGGGATGGGGCGTGCGCGCTGCTTTGTAGCAGTTGATGAGGGTGACTATGACGAGGATGATGACTGGGGGGGCGTGGGCAGCAGGCAGTGTGGAGCAGGTGTGTGTTACCGTACCTGCCTTGTCTACGTGCCTGTCTTGTCACCTTACCTGCCTTGTCACCATACCCGCCTTGTACCTGCCTTGTCACCATACCCGCCTTGTACCTGCCTTGTCACCATACCCGCCTTGTACCTGCCTTGCACTCGGGTTCCTGTGCTGTGCTTGCACCCGGCTCGTGTGCCTGTGTTGGCAGGGTACCTCATCCCCAACACACGTTCTCTACGCGTTTTGCATCAACTCAAAGCTTCCTATACTGTCCACCCTTCCACCTGTGCTGTGCCTGCAGAGCACCGCAATCTCAAGACACGTTCACCACGCTTCCCCCGCCCCCTACCTCCGCCCCCTTGCCCTCAGTTCCCACCTCCGCCCCCCTCCCCCGCTCCCCCCACCTCCGCGCCCCCTGCCTTCACCTCCTCCTGCCCACTCCACCCAACCCACCACCACCAGTAGCAGCAACACCACTATCATCTCTGCAGCTGTTGCTTCTGCAGCTGCTGCCGCTACTGCTTCGTTCGCTGCACACCCTTCTGTCACAGGACCTACCACTGTTCCAGGCCCAGGAGGAGCAGTAGTACCTGCTGCAGCAGCATCATTATCAGGATCAGCAGCAGCAGCAGCAGCAGCAGCAGCAGCTGCGGCGGCGACCGCGGCAGCAGTTGCACAGAGTGCATCTAGAGGGAGAGGCAGGAGCAGCTACTCTGCCCCTTTTGAGGCCCGTTGTACGCCCTGACGGCTCTGTCACGTCACGGCCCCTTCTACCCCGTAACAGGTCAGCTGAAAGCGAGTCCCTTGGCGCCTCTCCCTGCTGTCCCTGCGCCTGCTGCTGCTGCTGCTGCTCCTTCTTCCTCTGCTACAGCTGCAGCATCTGCAGCTGGTTCTGCAAGGGTGGTGCAGCAGCAGGCAGGTCAGGGTCTGCAGCAGCAGCTGGTGCAACAGCAAGGCAGCAGCAGCAGCAGCAGCAGCAGCAGCAGCAGCAGCAGCAGCAGCCACTAGCGCAGCAGCAACAGCATAAGGCGGCTGTAAAGCAGCAGCAAGGACAGCAGCAGCAGCAAGGACACCATCTGCACATACTTCCACAGCAGGCAAGGAAACGGTTGCACCCTGGCTTTCCCCGAAGCAAGTCCTCTGATAGCCCTCACAGCAGCAGCACTCCCCAGCCACAACAGCTGCACCGTCAGCCCCAGCAGCCACAGCAGCAGCTAGGACGCAGCAGCACCAACAACAACAACAACAAGCAAAACAGCAGCAGCATCAGCAGCAGCAGCAGCAGGCATTCTCAAGGGCAGCAACAAAGAGGGCAGCAGATGCGTATCGGGAGAGCAAACACACACCTGCAGAGTTCCTCTGTAGGCTCGTCCACCCTCGTTGTTCCCTCCTCCTCCTCCTCTTCCTCCTCCTCTAACCCCAAAACCACTCTCGCTCCAAGTCAGGTCCCATCCCCTCACCGTCTGCCCTCCCTAGCGCTGCTTCTGCTGCCACTCACGTTTCTGCTGCTCCTGCTGCTGTTGGTGGTGGTGGTGCTACACCCACCGCTCCTGCAGCAGCAGCAGCAGTGGCAGCAGCAGCACCACTACCTGGAGCAACTTTTTGTTCGCCTTCCCTTGTCAGAGCTCCAGGCAGCACCCTAGGGAATGCTTCAGGTAATGCCCCAGGCGTCACAGGTTCTGCACCTGCGTCTGGCGCCACTCCCTCCCCTGCACTCGTGCTGGTGCTGCTGCCACTCCCACGCATACAACACCTCCAGCTGCTACTGATGCTGCTCCTGTGCTCCAAACACCAGTACTTTCAGCTGCAGTGGCAGCAGCAGCAGCGGGGGGTGGGGGTGGGTTGAGGGTGAGAGCAGCACACGTGGGTCCCTTTGCCATGCAAATGTCTGGCCCGCTGCCCCGCCCCTCTGCTGTTGAACAAGCTGTAACAGGAGCTGCTGCTGCTACCTCTGCCTCTGCTACAGCTACTGGTCCTGCTACAGGCGGTCCTGCAGGCCCCGGAGGTGGTTCGGCAGGTGGTCCGGCAGGTGGCTTGGCAGGTGGGAGCAGGCGGAAGTGGGGGAGGGCGGTTCAGCTTTAGCTCTGTCAGCAGGGAAGGCCCAGCAGGTGGGTTGGCAGGAGGTCCTTCAGGTGGTTTGGCAGGGGGCTTCACAGGTGGGCTGACTGGAGGAGCAGCCATGCCCATGCCTGGGCTTCACGCCCCAGCGAAGAGAGTAAGCCATTCGGGGCCGATTCTCCGGGCAGCGGTGCTGGTGCTGGGTCAGTGTTAGGAACAGCATTAGGGGCAACAGGAGCAGCAAGAGCAGGAGCAGGAGGAGCAACAGGAGCAGGCACAACCATGCCTCTGTACGATCCCTCTGCTTCTTACCCTCCCTCGTCCTTCTTCCCTCCCTCCGCATCATACCCCCCATCATCAGCACCTGCCTTCTCATCCAGCCTCCAGCAAGCGTACATGATAGGAGCCATACCCTCCCAACCTCCTATGCCTTCCCAATCACCCATGTCCTCTCAACCTGCTACGACCCTCACAGCTGCTCCTGTGTCTGGGTATGCCTACGCTGGGGCAGCAGCAGGGGGAGCAGTGGGCAGCGGGGCAGGGTATGGGATGGAGCCGCAGCCTAGCTGGCAAGCTGGTGTGTCTGGAGCCGGTATGAGGCCAACAGGGATGGCAGCCGCAGCAGGAGCAACAGGCCTAGCAGTCCCGGCAGCAGTGTCGATGGGACCTTCAACAGGAGTCCCAATGGGAGTTCAAACGGGAGGCCTGGGTGTGGGTCAAAGCTATCCGTCCCACCCAGCTTACGGTTTCAACACCAGCCCGAGTGCCGGATTAGGGTTTGGGAGCGGTAGCAGCGGATTAGGGTTTTGGCGCCTCGCCTGTTTTCCAGGGTGGTTTACCCAGCAAGGCCCTGAGTGGACCCATAGCCCGCAGCTCTTTCTACGGAGGCAGTGGTTTGCTCTCCTCAGCCGGCATTCCAGGCCTGACCGGTGCTGGTGGCAGTGGTAGCAGCAGCGGCAGTGGTGGCGGCGGCAGTGGCGGTTTCAACAGCAGCGGCACAGGACACATGCGGGGAGAGAGGCTGATAAAATCCGGCCCGATTGGGCCGAGTAACAGCTACTATGTGGCCATGGCTGCTCCTGCGCTCTCCCCGCCCAAGGTCACAGAGTTATATGCCCTCCCGCCTCCACCTTTGGAGCTGAACTCGTCTCCTGGTAGAGTGGTTTTCAGGGGGCACGGGGGGTGCTGGTAGCGGTGTGGGCAGCGGTGGGAGTGAGGGGAAGGTCCTGCGGTCCCCTGGGGCCAAGGAGGGTTCGACAGTGGGAGCGGTGGCTGGTGGGGGGGAAATGGTGGTGGCGGGGTGGGTGGAGCAGCATTGGATGTGAAAGGGGAGAGGCAGGAGAGGGAGGTGGTTCCTTTGTCCTCTTTGTCATTGTCATCCACACCAGCCCAGGTTCGACAGGAGCAGCAGCAGCTACAGCAGCAGGGGGCACAGACCCAGCAGCCCCAGCAGAGTCAACCGAGTCAACAGAGTCAGCAGAGCAGGCAGCAGCAGCAACAACCATCGCCGCAACCACCCTCACAACAGCCACCCCCAGCAGCAGCAGCAGCAGCAGCACACGCGGCCGCAGCTCCCGCCGCTACAGCCACAGCCACGGGTGCTGCCAGCCTGGCCTGTGCAGCCCAGGGGGGCTGGCAGAGGGGCAGGCTCACTACGCCGCCCCATGTTCCCCACGATCATGTCGGAGGGCAGTGAGGAGGGCGAGTCTGGTACCAGCAGCTTCACTGGCTCGCCGGTAAGAGGGGATTGTGTGCGGTTGAAAGGGGTTGAATGGCTTGTTAGTATGGTCTGGTTGGTCAGTTGCCCCCTCATCTGCACCAGACAACCCTCGCTCCACGCATTTTCAACCTCTCATACCTCAACCATCTCGTTCACTTCTTTCTCCTCACCACCAACCCCCCCCCCTCCCCCCTTTTCCACCCCTCCTGTCCGTGCGCTGCAGTCCCTGTGCTCCACGCACAGCCCTGTGCAGCGCCTCGTGGCCTCGCCCTTCACTCCCCCCATGCCAGTTTTTCTCATGCACCAACAATCACTTTTCCTGCCCTTCTCCTTCCCCTTGCCCCCTCTCACTCCTCCTTGCCTGTGCTGTGCAGTCCCTGTGTTCCATAGATAGCCCTGGAGCTGTGGCACCTGACGACCTCACCCTTCCCCGCTCCCAGGGTGCCGCCTCTTCGTCCTCTTCCTCTTCCGCTGCCCAGTCCTCGGCGGCTACTTCATCTCTTCAGCCCAGGCAGCATCATCCGGGTTCGGTTGATCGATCTCAACCGTCGGATGCGGCTAGTTCAAGACGGCTGGAGATCCAGCTGAGGCAGGCTTTTTCGATGCCACGTCAGCATCATCTAGTGTCACCGGCTGATGGCATGTGCAGTCCACATTCGTCCATGACATCATCGTCGTCCTCGCCTGTGCATTCCCCACTGTTGCCAGCTGCTGCACAGTGAGATGTAAACTGTGCAAATTTATGATAATTCTTTCTAGCATTTGTACTGAGCAAGTGCAAATGTTACCTCTGCTCGGCTAATTTGATTGATTTTTTTGGTGTATAGTTCTTCAATGTAAGCGACTTCGAGAACTAGGATTTTGTTCTTCACAGGCGCGGTTCGCCCTGATGCGGGTTCGTGTCAGAGAGTTACCATGTCGCATCGTTCCAGCCAGCCGATCAAAGTTTAGGCGGGAAGTGTAATTCAGGTAGCAGCCCTCGATTCTGTCAGCAGCTCCAGACCAGAGAGAGCGCAGTTCGAGCTGATGGTCAACAGATCCTGCTGAATGCCGTCCTTGTTTTAGGGGTAAGCTCGAATCTCCAGGTTGGATGATTTGGAGGTAAGCTGCAGGCTGGGCCTCAAACGTTGATACCTTATAGACTCGCTGAGGCTATCTGGCTTATCAGTCTTTTTAAGTACCGCCCGCATTTTTTCTCAGGAAGTTATGGCAGTTCTTATGTAGTCAGTCTCTCCTGCTTCACTAGGCACTGCTTAGATTTTTGTTACCTGTCAAGCTCAGAGTCACGGATATCTAGGACATCTGCGAGTCGAGGCGACTCTGAATTCCGAGGATCGCGGACGGACCTCCATTAGAAAGCCCCGAGCGAAATGACCGTTGATTCCTGGGTGTGGAATAATGCTCAGAAGCAGTCATGTCTGAAAACCACAGCCTTTAAAATCGATCCTCGTCACTGTCGAGTTCATCGTTTCGTTCCTAAAATCCTAGAACCTGCTTCGGCAAGGTCTCTCAATTCGCGGTCCAGGATGTAACGGCAAAAGCCTTCCGCGCATTTTTCCATCTTGAGTGCCATTCTGGTTACCGTACGGTCGTGCATTAACACACCTTTACCTCCGCACACCTCTTCACTAAAATCGTCACCATGACATTCCTTTCGAAAGCCCTCGCGGAGATCGCTCAACGGTCAGGATCGCTCAATCAGATGCCAAAACGCAGCGAGTCGTGCAACTCCTTCTTCACGGGAAGCCAATCTCCAAGATCAGCCGCCTTTTCCGGTTCTTTTCTTCCACGCACGAAATCGCGAAGAGAGGACGGCGTAGGCCGCGTGATCATGTGGATCGTCCTTGCGTTCCAGTCGAAACGCATTCTTTCGTTCCTCGTGCTGCCGCTTCTCGCGTGCCTGCTCGTCTGGGGCTTGCTGCGCCGAAGCGGATCTGAGAACGGGAGGTGGCCGGCCGTGGAACGGCAGCCGTGGCGAGCGGAGATTGTCGTCGAGTCTTCGCCGTCGTCGTTGTTACCGTCGCAAGCGTCACACGGTGGCTTGGCAGCAGCGAGTGAGAAAATGGTCAGAGAGCCTTCCAAAGCGACCGTATCACGTGTGGAGGAGGGCAGTGAAGGGGTACCGTTGTCCGATGCAGGGAAAAAAGAGCAAGAGAAAGTGGTTGAGCGTTTGCGAGAGGCGACCGGCGACGGCGACGACGGGTTACCTGATCGTGGGCAACGTAAAAAGGAAGCGGGAGATGGGGTGGACGGCTCAAATGGGGAGAGAACGGCGGACAGCAACGGGGAGATGGGAAAAGAGGACGGCGATGGAGGCAAGGGGGAGAGCAGGGGTGAGGGTAACGGGGAAGGGAGCGATGGACTGAAAGTGGGGACTGATGTGAAGGATGAGGGGATGAGAGAGAAAGGGGACGGAGATGGTCAGGGCGAGGAAAAACTTTCTGAGGCAACTCAGATGTCATCGGAGGGGCGGCAGGATGAGAATGTGGTGGTGGAGAGTGAGGGAGGGAGCCGAGGCGTAGGAGAGAAAGGGGAAGAGGAGAGGAAAGAGGAGAAGAGAGGGATCGAGGTGGAGGAGGTGGAGAAAAAAGAGGGGAAGAGGGAGGAGGAGGAGAAGGAGAAGGAGAAGGAGAAGGAGAAGGAGAAGAAGGGGAAGGAGGAGAAGGAGAAGGAGAAGGAGAAGAAGGGGAAGGAGGAGGAGGAGACGGAGAAGAAGATGAAGGGGAAAGAGAAGGAGGAGAAGGAGAAGGGGAAGGGGAAGGGGAAGAAGAAGGGAAAGAAGCGTCAGCAGTACGAGGAGGTCAAAGAGAAAGTCCATCTTGACGGTATGCTTGCAGACAGCTCGTTTCCACCACACCAGCTCCTTTCCCTGTCCTGCGTATTGTGGCCTGTGCCATGGCACGTGGAAGCCCACGTGTTCAGTTTTCGCCAATGCAGCTGCGTTGTGGCAAACGAATGGTCACTCTAAACCTTTTCACTGATCTCAAACAACCCCACTACCCCTCCTTCCGCTCTTTCCCTTTCCCCCCAATCTGCGCCACACTGCCTCCCTTCCCCACCCCCTGCGACTGCGACCTGAGTTCTGACCAGACGCAGACCCAACCCACCTGTTGGTTCTCCCCCCTCTCCGATTGCCAACCTTCGGGATGATAATCCCGCCCCCACTCCCATGCAATCCCACCCCACTCCCATCTTCCCCCGCCTCCCTCCCCCAGTACCCGCGGACTGCGACCTGTACCACGGCACGTGGCAGCCAGACGCAACTTGAATCCCCTCGTTATTTTTTCCCGCTCTTTGATTGCCCATGACCCGCCCCCTTCCCAGTCCCCGCGGACTGCGACCTGTACCATGGCACGTGGCATCCAGACTGAACTGAATTCCTTTGCTCTCTCTTCCCGCTCTCTATTTGTCAATGACCCTCCTCCCGTTCCCAGTCCCCGCGAACTGCGACCTGTACCACGGCACGTGGCAGCCAGACGCAACTTGAATCCCCTCGTTATTTTTTCCCGCTCTTTGATTGCCCATGACCCGCCCCCTTCCCAGTCCCCGCGGACTGCGACCTGTACCATGGCACGTGGCATCCAGACTGAACTGAATTCCTTTGCTCTCTCTTCCCGCTCTCTATTTGTCAATGACCCTCCTCCCGTTCCCAGTCCCCGCGGACTGCGACCTGTACCACGGCACGTGGCAGCCAGACTTAGAACCGCCGCTCTACACCAACAACACGTGCGCCGCCATCTCGCAGCACCAGAACTGCCAGGGCAACGGGCGGCCGGACAGTGGGTACGAGCGGTGGCGGTGGCGGCCGGGGGGGAGGGAGGAGTGCGGGGCGCTGCCGCGGTTTGATGCGGTGGAGTTCATGCACGTGATGCGAGGGAAGAGCGTGCTATTCGTTGGGGACTCTGTGGCAAGGAATCACATGGAATCCCTGATCTGCCTGCTGAGCCAGGTGAGCCATTGAGACAGATTCGGGGGAGAGGGAGGGGGGTTCTGGGCCTTTAACGAGGTTTGATGCGGTGGAGTTCATGCATGTGAAGCGAGGGAAGAGCGTCCTGTTCGTGGGGGACTCAGTGGCATGGAACCACATGGAGTCGCTCATTCTCCCATCTCTCTTCCCCCCCCGATAATCCAAGTGGAGGCCCCCCACCTGCGGGGCAGCAAAAGCCTGATCCTCATGCTGTTCCCACGCGCCAAGCTCACCGTAGCACGCATCTGGTCCGCCTGGCTCGTCCACGAGTCCCCTTCCTTTCCATCCCCTTCCCTTCCCCTTCCCTTCCCTTCCTACCCTTCCCTTCCCCCACCCTTCCCTTCCTACCCTTCCCTTCCCTCCCCTTCCCCTCCTTTCCCGTCAAACTCCAGGTGGAAACCCCCCACCTGCGGGGCAGCAAGAGTCTGATCCGAATGGTCTTCCCGCGCGCCAAGCTCACCATAGCACGCATCTGGTCCGCCTGGCTCGTCCACGAGTCCCCCGACCCTCCCCCCTCCGCGCTGCCCTCCGCCCCTGCGGACCTTCCGCGCCTGCACCTGGACAGGACGGGGGAGAAGTGGTGGGGGGGTGTAGAGCGGTACGATGTGGTGGTGCTGTGCACTGGGCACTGGTTTGTTAAGCCTGCTCTGTTTGTTGTGGGGGGACGCGTGGTTGGGTCGCAGGGCGGGTGGTGGGAAGCGCATGGGAAGGAGTTGGAAGGGGTGGGAGGAGGGGAGAGTGGCGAGGAGACGAGAGGAGGAGCAGGAGGAGGAGAGGGAGGAAGAGCAGGAGGGGGAGGAGGAGGAGATGGAAGTGGGAAAGAGAGTGGTTCTGAAGGCAGTTCGGGGCAGCTGGAAAGGAAGGGAGGTGAGAGTAGTGGGCAGGAACAGCAGGGGGAGCAGCGGAGACGGTTGGAGGGAAGGGTAGTGGCTGATGATACAAAGCTTGTAGAGAACACGTACAGAGCAGCCAGGAGCAGCAGATGGGTGACGGATACACAGAAGGATCTACAGAAGGATACACGGAAGGATACACAGGTTCCAGTGAACAATACTGCTGCTTTCTCAATTGCCATTCGGACCGTCTTTGCTGACGTGGCGGCTGCTGTCAAGGCGAACCCGAAGCAGCTGTTTGTCTTCCGAACCTACTCCCCGGACCACTACGAGGGCGGGCAGTGGAACACCGGAGGCTCGTGCGCAGGCCTGGCCGAGCCTCGCGGCAGCGGCTACACCTACGAGAACACGTACGGGAACGCAATTTATAACGAGCAGAAGGCAGCTTATAACAAGGCTATGGAGGGCCTGGGAGAAGACTACAAGTGGCGGTTTGGCCTGATGGACATAATGCCGAGTGCGGGGTTGAGAGTTGATGGGCATCCAGGGCCATATAGAAGGTTGAACAGTGTTGCCGAGCTGGAGAAGCGCAGGGAGGAGGATAAGGAGGCCAAGTATCCCCCCCCGCAGGACTGCCTGCACTGGTGCCTGCCCGGGCCTATAGACTCGTGGAATGTGTTTCTGCTGCAGCTGATCAAACGGAAGAGAGTCATGGGGCAGGCAGGGGCGTAGAGGCTTAGAGCCACAATGGCACAGGGTGATAGGGCACGCTACTGCTCAGATCTAGATTTGGGCCGAAGAGGGCAGCAGCGTTTTGAGACTCCTTAAGAGGGCTGGACAGTTGTTGGCGGAGCTGGACAGCTGAAAGGCAACAAGGAAGAGGAGAGAAGTAGGAGGGGAAGTCCAAACGGCACAGGGTTATGGGGCAGCCTGGGGCTTGATGCTGTGACAGCTAGGGCCAGATAGGGGATGGGTCAGATAGGGGTGTAAGAGTACAGATGTGCGATGGGCCAGCAGGGGCATGACGGTACTGGGCCGTTGGTGGGACAGCCAGATGGATGTGTGATGGGGCATGGCATGGGGATGAGTGGTGCTTACAGGGTGGACCGTGGCATGGGGTGGGTCGGAATGGTGCTTGCAGCTGGGCGTGAAGCAGACCCTTCCTTGGTGAAGCAGACCCTTCCTTGGTGAAGCAGACCCTTCCTTGGTGAAGCAGACCCTTCCTTGGTGAAGCAGACCCTTCCTTGGTGAAGCAGACCCTTCCTTGGTGAAGCAGACCCTTCCTTGGTGAAGCAGACCCTTCCTTGGTGAAGCAGACCCTTCCTTGGTGAAGCAGACCCTTCCTTGGTGAAGCAGACACGAGGCTTCCCGTCCTACCCACCCTGAAGCACCTTGGTGTTCTGGTGTTCTAGTCAAGCAGGCGGTAGTCAACTAGGCCTCCTTCCCCACCAGGGCGCCTTGATTTGATTCGAACCGTTGGATGTCTGATGGCCTCGGTGCAAGGTTTATGTTATGGCGCTAGATGCCCAGAGCCAGAGGCGCGGTACAATACAAGCTTGTAACGCACCCATGCCGTATGAAGCTGACCATGTGTGTGACTTGCAGGTTGTTGAAGCCTTCTTAGCAATATAACAAGGCAAGATGCATCCAATGCATGCTCACTACCAATCGCGTCAGTAGTCCCATGGATTATCCCCAAGGAGCCAAGTTGATTGTGGAGCGGCGTCTGGGCTGGAAACACTTTGTGTGGTCCGGGCATGCTCCACATGCGTCAAGTTGATTGTCTTTCAGTGTTACTTTTGGCCCCAAGGAGCCAAGTTGATTGTGTTTCAGTGTTACTTTTGAGGCGCCCCAAGGAGCCAAGTTGATTGTGTTACAGTGCTACTCTATCGTGATGGCAAACTGGCTATCCGAAGCATGCTTTGCAATACGACTACTTCCTTATCAGACACCCAAGAGGCAGCACCTGTGATTTTAGCTGCCCCTCTGCCAACGTGGGAACAGCGTCTGGGCTGGAAACACCTTGTGTGGTCCGGGCATGCTCCACATGCGTCGAAAGAGTCAAGCTTCGTTTAGGCTTGGCTGGTTGGTTTATACTGTAAGCTCGGTTCAGCTCAGCTGCCCATATGAAGCACCTGCCAGCCGTTTGCCAACTCGTCCAGTTGCTCCCCTGCCAACATGGGCACCAGAACGGCCTCCCCCAAACGGGACCCACAGGTGATGGAGCAGGGTCAGGGGTATTGCATCAAGTTTGCTCCGGATTCAATTGAGCGTTCATTTAGCTGTTCAGAGGAAGCACCTGCCACTCCAGCTGCTCGCCTGCCAGCATTGGTACGAGAGAGCCCCCATCAGCATATGAGTATGAGTCAGGTACGGCCCACGGTTGGCGGATGAGGGTGATGCGGCGGGAGTTGCGAGGCAGGCCGTAGAAATCAGGTCCGTTGAAGCTCGTGAAGGCCTCTAGCTTGTCCAGTGCGCCTGCCTGCTCGAATGCCCGGGCGTAGAGAGGCAGGGCGGCGTGCGCAGAGAAGATACCGGCGCAGCCACACGGCGCCTCCTTAGTGGTGCGCTCGTGAGGCGCGCTGTCGGTGCCGAGAAAGAAACGAGTGCTGCCGCCCGTCACTGCAGCCACTATTGCCTGGCCTGGTAAGGGGGAAGGCGGAAGGAGAAAGGAGGAGGACGGAGGAGGAAGAAGGAAGAAGGAAGGAGGAAGAAGGAAGGATGAGAAACGAGGAGAAGACAGATTTAGGAACGCACTTTAGGAGAAGCAAGAAAGAACGCACTTGAGGAGAAGCAAGAAAGAACGCACTTGAGGAGAAGCAAGAAAGAACGCACTTGAGGAGAAGCAAGAAAGAACGCACTTGAGGAGAAGCAAGAAAGAACGCACTTGAGGAGAAGCAAGAAAGAACGCACTTGAGGAGAAGCAAGAAAGAACGCACTTGAGGAGAAGCAAGAAAGAACGCACATGAGGAGAAGCAAGAAAGAACGCACATGAGGAGAAGCAAGAAAGAACGCACTTGAGGAGAAGCAAGAAAGAACACACTTGAGGAGAAGCAAGAAAGAACGCACTTGAGGAGAAGCAAGAAAGAACGCACTTGAGGAGAAGCAAGAAAGAACGCACTTGAGGAGAAGCAAGAAAGAAGGAAATATTTACAAGTGACTATCTGTCGTCTCCCTTTGATCAGCATGCGAGTCTCGTCTTCCTCACCACCTCTCATGAAACAACGAGACTCACGGTGTGTCTCCCGCTTGAGGACAGGCAAGCAGAAGTGGTGGGGCCGAATGCGCCCACTGAACAGAGCGTTGCGGTTCCACTGCAGGTGCTGTGGCAGTCCGTTTCCTCTCAGTGAAACTTACGGTGGGTCTCCCGCTTGAGCATGGGCAGGCAGAAGTGGTGCGGGCGGATGCCCCCCGTGAACAGAGCGTTGCGATTCCACAGCAGGTGCTACAACAGTACCTCTCATCGCAGTGAAACTTACGGTGGGTTTCTCTTTTCAACACGGGCAGGCAGAAGTGGTGCGGGCGGATGCCCCCTGTGAACAGAGCGTTGCGGTTCCACAGCAGGTGCTGGGGGGTCACTGTAGCAGCCACCCGCCCCTCAGGTGCTTTCAACACAAACTCGACCGCATCTGCGGTGGTGACATGCTCGAGAACCACTCGCAGGGAGGGCAGGCGGGCTAGCAGGGGCGAGAGCACTCGATGGATGAACTCCTTCTCGCGATCGAACATGTCGACTGATGGATCCACCACTTCTCCATGCAGCTGTGGGGGGGGAGTGGGAGGGGGAAGGAAAGGGGAAGAGAGTGGACAGGCACGTGCTGTGGACTAGCAGAGGCGAGAGGACTCGATGAATGAACTCCTCGCGGTCGAGCATGTCGACTGATGGATCCACCACCTCACCATGCAGCTGGGAAAATCAACGGGGGAGACAGAGGGGCGGGGGGAGTGAGTGGGGAAGGAGAGGGTGGGAGGGGGTAAGTCGACCGCATGTGAGGGCAGGCGGGGCCAGCAGGGGCGAGAGGAGCATGTCTTTCCCACGGTGGATGATCTCTCTCTCGCAGCCCAACATGTCGACTGATGAGTCCACCACCTCCCCGTGCACCAGCAGAGGCGAGAGGAGTCGGTCGGTGGATGAACTCTTTCTTGCGGTCGAACCTGTGTCGACTGATGGGTCCCCCACCTCCCCGTGCAGCTGGGAAACTCAACGGGGGAGACAGAGCGGTGGGGGGAGTGAGTGGGGAAGGAGAGGGTGGGAGAGGGTAAGTCGACTGCATGTGAGAGCAGGCGGGCTAGCAGGGGCGAGAGGAGTCGGTGGATAAACTCTTTCTTGCGGTCGAACCTGTGACGACTGATGAGTCCCCCAGCTCCCCGTGCAGCTGGGAGTGGAGGGAGAGGGAAAAGGGGACAGGGAAGGTTGTAGTGTTGGCTTCCCTAATAGCAGAGGCGAGAGCACCCGGTGAATGGAATCTTTCTTGCCCCCTCCCAAACTCAACTCACGAGCAGCGGCATGCCAATCTGCGCCATGTGCTGAATGGCAGGGAAGCAGCGCCCAAAGAGGTCCGTCACTCCCGCTGCTGAGTTGGTCGTCGCTCCCGCAGGGTACAGCTTGAATGCCACCACTAGGCCCCCGTCCTCTAAATGCGGGGTCAAGGGAGGGAGGGAGGGAGGGAGGGAGGGAGGGAGGGAGGGAGGGAGGGAGGGAGGGAGGGAGGGAGGGACGGGGAGAGGAATGGAGAGATCGAGGGAAGGAGAGAGCAGTGACAACGAAGTCGTTGCTCCCGCGGGGTACAGCTTGAACGCATGGGGGTTGGTGAGAGAGGGAGGGAGGAGGGAGGGAGGGAGGGAGGGAGGGAGGGAGGGAGGGAGGGAGGGAGGGAGGGAGGGAGGGAGGGAGGGAGGGAGGGAGGGAGGGAGGGAGGGAGGGAGGGAGCATTGAGAACGCACAACAAGCATCGGCAATGGAGTGACAATGGGAGTTGGTCGTCACTCCCATGCACGGGGTACAGCTTGAACAGCACCACCACGCTTCTGCTCTCTGGATGGGGGTTGAGGAAGGGAGGGAGGAGAGCAGCAGAGTGTTTGAACAAATGAGCAGTGCGAGCAAAGAGAATGCGGTGTGGTGTGGCACGGTGTGTTTTGGTGTGGTGCAGTGTGGTGACAGGTGTGAGATAGAGCATCATGAGTGGCTCAAAGCCCGCCTTCCCTCCCCAAACTGCCTCTTTCCACGCGCACCAGTCCCAACGCACTCACTCGCTTTCTGCACCTCTTCCGGTGTGGTGTCATCTGTAAGGTACAGCGTCATCAACGGCTTAAAGCCCTCCTCCCCTCGCCTCCCCTCTGGTACCGCTGCCAGCACCCGCTTGCGGTACTCTGCTGCTGCCAGTGCGGTGGTGACCGGTGGGCGCAGGTTGGGCATGATGACTGCTCGGTGGAAGACGGCCGCGCTGCCGGGAAGGGGGTAGGGGGGAGGAGGAGGGGTAGGTGGGGGAGAGGGGAAGAGGAGGGGAAGAGGGGGAGGGGAGGAAGGGTGGAGGAAGGGTGGAGAAAGGGGGAGAGAGGGGAAGAAATGGGGAGCAGGGGGGAAGAGGGGGAACAAGAGGGGGAGAGAGGAGGGGGATGGTGTGCATGCATTGTGCATGCGATTCTCTAAGACGAAGACAGACACCTGGCACCTGAAGTTCTACCTGAGATTTCACCTGAGCTCTCACCTAAACGGCACAACGGATTGCAGCGCAGCGCCATCCCGCACGTGCAGGTGCCAGTCGTCGGGCTGCGTAATCTCTAGCCGCTCCACCCCCACAGAATCCGCCGCCGATTGCGCTCGCACCGCCGCCATAGATTGCTTACGTCCTGTGGAAGAGAATCCTTGGCTTGAGTGGCAGGAGACTAGGCGGATGCTTCGATAACGGGAGTCAGAGGAAGGGAAATAGTCGCGCCGTGAGAACGGTCGGCGAAGCGCATTGGTGTGCAAGTGATCGGGAAACGAAACGAGGCGAGAAGGAGTTACGTCGCGCTGCGAGAGCGAGGAATGAGGGTTCGGGGTTTGGGGGAAGAGATTGTTTGCGGGATGCGCGGAGATCGCACTCGCCATAAGAGCGGATTAAAAGGTAGTTATTGTTCACCGCACGCCCTTGTATGCTGCGAGCAATTGGCGCTTCGGAATCCGTTCGGGGAATTTCGGGGCTGATGATGGCGGGGACGGCGAAACCAACTGATCCGAATGCAACGATGTGATATGGGATACGAGTATTTGCGCTTTGAAAAAAGTGTTTATACTTAATTTTCTTGTGAAAGTTGTTATGGAGAATCATTGGCGGATTGAGTTGCCTGTATGGTGTATACTTGAGATTCACCTGCGTTTCGCCTGAACTACAATCCACCTGCTTCAGCTGTACCTGCTGACGTGGATATCTGCTGTTCACCTGCATCTGTCTACTGCATGAACACTGTCGCGAGTTTCGTCAAAAGATCCAACGTGGGCTGTCTGCTTTCGCCATAACCATTCGATCGCCGCCACACGCACCCCCCCCTCCAACCACACCCAGCCAGCCAAGACTTGTCTGGTCGGAGTTGACAAACAGCGCAGCAACTCAACATGACTTTTCGAATCGCATCGTGTGCCAGGAAATGCCCAACTGGTCACTCGATTTTTTATGTGATGCAAAGCGGTCATTGTAGCAAACGCCGTAGTTTTGTGCGTTCCAGTGAGTTAAGCTGATGTGATCGTGCTGTAACTGCACCAGAATGCAATGCGGAATGCACTACTGTAACCAGCACAAGGACAGCTACAAGCGGGGAAAGCCCCACCTTCCCCGCCTCAGGGCAACAGCTCCCTCTTCCCTCCGTTGCTCGTCCCGTCTCCCGTCGCTCCCTCCCTTTTTCCCAGAAAACTCCCACATTCTAACCAGCAAACGCATTAGCTAACTCGCTCTGGTTTTCAGAACTCCGATTCGTGTCCGAACAAGACTAGTTGCGGTCGCGAGGGCCTAGCTTAGTGGGCAGTATTTAATCGCCGCGAAGATCACGCTCCACGAGAATGCGCGCAGCCCTCCACGGGTGAATAGCATGTCAAGGGCCAGAATGGGGCTTAGAAGTGTATGGCTAACGAGATCATTCGCGTTAGTCTCGCTGCTGGCGACGGTTGCGATGATCGCGATGCTGGTAACTGGAGCTGCGGCGCTGGATGCATGTCCTGACGACGATTCTCTGGTGCGTGTTGCGCCGCTGCGGGATGCTGGGAGTTGCTGTTGATGCCAATGTTCGTGTGCTCTGCTCTTCTCTGCTCTGCTATTCTCTTCTCCGCTCTGCTCTCCTCTGCTTTGTTCCGAATACATTTCGTGCGCGCCCGACAACCGACGAGTGCATGAGAGACACGCAGGAGCTCGACTCGGAAGCCTAAAAAATCGACATAAAATTCCCCTTCCCCCTCTCCCTGCACCTTTCGCTGCCTTACGTCGCAGTTCGTGTGCGCGACGACCGACGAGTGCATAAGCGACACGCAGGTGTGCGACGGGTCGCCCAACTGCAGCGACGCGGACGCGCCTTCCGACGAGGACTCCGCATTCTGCGCGACCTGGGAGTGCCCCAGCGGGTGGAGCAAGTGCGACGACGGCTTGCAGTGTTACGAGGAGAGTCGCATGTGCGACGGCTCGCGCGACTGTAACGATGGGAGCGACGAAGAGGGTTGCGACACTAATGAGGGTGACACGACTCCTGTTACTGGAACGCCTCAAACGGGAACACCTGATACGGGAACGACTGATACGGGAACGACTGATACGGGAACGACTGATACAGGAACGACTGATACGGGAACGACTGATACGGGAACGACTGATACGGGAACGGCTGATACGGGAACGGCTGATTCGGGGACGGCTGATTCGGGGACGGCTGATTTGGGAACGGATGATACGGGAACAGATGATACGGGAACAGATGATACGGGAACGGATGAAACGGGAACGGATGATACGGGAACGTCTGATACAGCAGCACCAGGTGATGAAACTGAAACTGGCGAAGCAACATCGACGGACGGAAGCGTTCCGGCAGATGAAACTCCTCCTGGAGATGAAACTGAAAATACAGGAGATGCAACTCCACCTCCGCCGGCGAACGAAGACACGACCCCCCCAGGAGATGTAGCTCCACCTCCGCCGCCAGCTGACGTGGACAATCCAGGTGGAGATGAAACCCCTGGTGGTGCTCCACCAGGTGATTCGTCAGGGTCGGGGGAAGGTTCACAGGAACCTTCGGAAGGAGCAGGGGAAGGGGGAGAGGGAGGGAGTGAGGGGGGAAGCGGAGAGGTGGGGGGAAGCGGAGAGGAAGGTGGGAGCGGAGAGGCGGGGGGAAGCGGAGAGGAGGGGGGGAGTGGAGAGGAGGGGGGAAGTGGAGAGGAGGGGGGGAGTGGAGAGGAGGGGGGAAGTGGAGAGGAGGGGGGAAGTGGAGAGGAGGGGGGAAGTGGAGAGGAGGGGGGAAGTGGAGAGGAGGGGGGAAGTGGAGAGGAGGGGGGAAGTGGAGAGGAGGGGGGAAGTGGAGAGGAGGGGGGGAGTGGAGAGGAGGGGGGGAGTGGAGAGGAGGGGGGGAGTGGAGAGGAGGGGGGAAGTGGAGAGGAGGGGGGAAGTGGAGAGGAGGGGGGAAGTGGAGAGGAGGGGGGAAGTGGAGAAGGAGAGGAAGGAGATGGGGAGGGAAACGACACAGAAGAGGGCGGTGATGGAGGGGAGGAGGATGGCTCAGGGGATGAAGATTCAGGTGAATCTGAAGAAGAACCTGAGACGCCACCTCCCCCACCTCCACCTGAGAAACAGCTCTCTCCCCTGGAGCAGAAAAAGCGGGAGTATCAGAAGGCTGCACAGGCAGCCGAGGCTGCTAAGGCCGATGCTGAAAAGGCCAATGCGATTGCCCAGCAGAGGGAGAAAGACGCAGAGGCAGCCCAAGCGCGGGCAGAGAAAAAAGCAAGAGAAGCCAAAAGTTCTAGGGGTGGGACGAGCGGGAAGAAGAGGCGGGAGGAGGCGAAGCAAGCGCAGAAAGAGGCCGACGCTGCGAGGGCCAGAGCGGACCAGGCGAGAGAGGAGGCAGATGGGAAGGAGGAAGCGGCTGCGGAGGCTGCGAACACAGTGGAGGAGAAGCGGCAGGAGCTTGTGGATGAAGCAGAGAGGAGCAAGCCAGAGCTAGAGGATAAGAAGAGGAGAGGGACGGCCCGGAAGGACGCGGCTCGGGCCGAGCGAGATGCAGCGAAGGAGAAGAAGGAGGAGAAGAAGAGGACGTTCAGAGAGAGGGTGGCTGCGGCCCGGCTGGCCCAGATGGCTGAAAAGGCCAGCGCTGCCGCCGCTGCTGCAGCAGAGAAGCAGGCAGCGGCGGATAAAGCGCTGGAGGCTAAGCAACAGGCGGATGCTGAGGTGGATCGGCTGGTTTCAGCTAAGAGTCAGGCGGAGGATGCGGCGAGGGAGGCCGGGGAAGCGCAGGCGGCGGCGGAGGCAGCGGCACGGGAAGCGGTGGACGCCGGTGATGAGAGGTTGAGTGCGGTGAAGTGGGCGGAGGCTGCGGATGCGCTGGGGTTGAAGTGGGAGAAACAGACGGAGGTGGAGCGAGTGAAGAGGGAGTTGGTTGTGGCTAAGGCGGCAGCTAAGCTAGCTGCCAAGGAGGCTGTGCTGAGGCAGCAGGCAGCTGCTCGGGCGGCAAGTGAGGCGCAGAAAGTCGGCGGCAAAGTGGGCGGGGGCGGTGCGGGTGGTGGAACCGGTGGTGATGCTGGTGGTGATAGTGGTGGTGATGGTGGTGGTGATGGTGGGTCTACTGATCCAGGAGGTGACACAAACGAGGGTGGGTCTAGTGACACAAGCAGTGGTACCAGTGCAGGATTGTCAAAACAAAGTGTAGGGGTTAAAGTGGCCTTTAGTGATGGTGTTGTTGGGAGTGGTGGTGGCAACAAAGGGGGTAACACAAGAAACAGAAAGGTGGATGTGGGGGGCTGATAATAGCAACTTGAACTGAATATGTTGTTATTTTGCTTCATGTAATGGTATAAGTTTGTACAGTGTGCTGTGCATCTTGGCCTGGTGCTGAACTGATACTAAGATGGTGAATGTTGACGAAACATACAATTCTAAAAGTGAAGAGGTAAATTCAATTACTGTAGTACCACACCGTATGCTCATAGTACAGCGAAGTGGTTGTGACAGGGAAAGCCGCAACTTCACTATCCTGTCACGCGCCATTCACGATATAAGCTGACGCCTGCTTCGGGACGGGAACCATAACCCTGGTGAAGCATTCGCTCATTGGCTCTCTGGAGTCCAGAGTCGTACGTTACTCACGAAGTGGGGCACAAGGTGACGCCGTCGCCAGGGAGTGGAAGGGTCACGAGAATCCTGCACTCATCGTGCATCGATTCCGCTCGTCCAGAGTCGCACGTTACGCCGCAATTCGACGCGCATCGCGCATCGCATCGCCAACGGAGTGGGTGGGTGGGTGAGGGAGTGGGGGGGTGGGGGGGTGGGGTGGGTCGGGGGAGGTGAGAGAGAGAGAGGGGTAATCCTTCTGGTCCTTCTGGTCCTGAGCAAATAGAGCAGGTGGGACGCTGGGCAAGCAGGGAGGAAACAGGGCGAGGCTATGATAGAATCTCGGAAGGTGTGTGAGCGGGTGGGGGGAGGTGAGAGAGAGGGGTAACCCCCCTGGTAGCGAGCAGCAAGAGCAGCTGGAACGGTGGGCAAGCAAGGAGGAAACAGGGCGAGAGGTCGTTGAAGGGGTTGGGAGGGAATACTCTCTTTTATCTGTTCCTATTTTGAGGCGCCTCAAAAGAAATTCTCTCGTTTATCTGTTCCTGGAAGAAAGGAACAGATCGTGCGAGGCCGCTGAAAGGAAGGGAGAACGGGTGTATGAACGGGAGCGGATGGAGAGAAGTGAGATGGGCGCGGGGACGTGGGATGGGATGGGATGGGATGTGATATGTGAACAGAACCGGGGGAAGTGAGAAGGAAGAGAGAGGGGAAGGGGCGAGGGGAGCAGCGGGAGGACAGTGGCTGAGGACAGCGGGAGGTCAGAGTGGTGGAAATAGAGTAAGTGGGTATGCATAGGGAGCTGGTAAGTTGGGATGGGTGGGTGATGATGATGGGGAATGCGGGGTGAGGGACGGGGGGGAGTGAGAGGTGAAGAATGGGGGGGGTAGGGGGGGGAGAGGTGACAGACGGGGGGGAAATCGTTATGAGCAACGAGGGGCGGAATGATGGGTAAGCGGAAGGGGGGAATGAGGGGTGAGCAAAAGAGGGGAACGGGAGGGAATGAGGGGTGAATGACGGGGGAAATGGATGGTGAGCAGAAAGGGGGAAATGAAGGTTGAGCGACGGAGGGGATGGGAGGTGAGCGATAGCGGAGAAGTGAGGGTGAGTAAATGGGAAAAACAAGGGGTGAGTGAAAGGGGGGGAAATGAGGTGAGTAAAGCAGGGAAATGAGAGGCGAGCGAAGGGGGGAAACGAGGTGGTGAGCGACTGGGAATGCGAGGTACTGAGGGGCGAGCGACGGGGGGAACTGAGGGGTGAGCGACGGGAGGAAACGAGTGGAGAGCGAAGGGGGGGGACGAGGGGGTAGCGACGGGGAATATGAGGTAAGCGAGGGGGGATGCGGGGTGAGCGAAAAGGAAATGCGAGGTAAGTGACGGGGGGAGCACATGCCTGATGCGCGACGAAGCGTAAACGACTGGAAAGCGAGATGCGGATGAGCAATGAGCGCAGGAGCGATGAGGGGTGGGCGAAACGGGCGCAATGAGAGGAAAATCCGAACGAGGGAGATTAGGAAATGGGGTGACGGGTGAGCCGCGGGGGGATAAGGGATGAGCGGAGGGAAAGACGGAGTGTGAGGGAGATACGAACCCAAAAGCCCTCCCCCGGGCGTGATGCCGCCGAGGACATCCCTCCGAAACCCTAGCTGCCTGGCAATATGGCGAAACGAGAGGGCGTGGGCGGAGGGAGGGAGGGGAATCTGGCGAAAGGGGATGAACGAAGTCTGATCGTGCTCCTCTGAAATTACGGCGTGGAGACGTACGCCACGCGTGCGCGTCACTAGCGCGAATCATTGGAGACAGCGCGTGTCGCGGAAACATAGGGATCCGCGCGCTGTACATTGAGGTACGAAATTCTCTTGTAACCGCTAACAATGCAACCCCTCAAGAATAGAGCTGCTTCGCGAAGGCTCGGTTGTACGAAATCGGCAACAAACTAATCGGCTGCTTCACCTGGCAGATACTTCCTACCCTTCACCACGCTACTACTCGCTGAGGCGGAACGCTCTACAACATATAGCGAAACTGGCTAACTACGATCAACGAGAGAAAGGCAATACCACGAGTTGCTTGGATCTGTAATCAAAACAAGGTCAAACAATCTGAGCAAGCGAGGCACATATGCAACGAGATCTGAGCAGGTGGTGGTTGTGTACCAACCAGCCGAAACACTATCTCCCCTCTGCCCGAATTTTCTTTCTCTCGGATTTCGACCCCGCCCATCTCCGTTTCTGATTGGGTCTCGAAGATTTTGTTCATCCCAACCCCTTCCTTCCGTTGCCCAAATCTTGATTTGACACTAGCAAAACTTCATGCAGCCAATGACATTCATAATCTGCACACATGCCGTCCCGCAACACACGCAAAAACTTCAGACTATAACCTACTGTCACACCTGCCCGTGACTTAGAACCTAGAGTGACGAGAAACTTGATCCCGTGGCACACGTCCAATTGAATCTAACCTTCGAATGTAACAAAACAAAACAAAGTGTTCTGCACTGCAAACCTTAACGGATCAAGCAGAAACAACCAGAGTTCTGACACCCACGGCGCACAGTGCTGCCTTCGCTCCCTGCCACCCACCAATGTTCTGTTCTGATAGTCAGACCAAATTTTGCTACCTTCCCTCCCTGTCACTCTCCCTGCCACCCAGCACTGTTCTGACTACTGTAGTCAGACCAGAATTTGTGGTACAGTAGCACGATTCGAGCGTGGAATTTGTCCCTCTCTCAACTTCATATATTCTCAACTTGCACTCCACGGAGCACAAGACGAGGAGTCATCCAGAGGTGTTACCTTCCATTGTGCCTTTCAGGCTAGTACTGAAGAACGCGCGCGCGTGAAGAGAAGACAAGAGGTGGTTTTCCTTGTGCCTTTCAGGCAAACGAAGACTTGAAGAGAAGGACTGAGGCGGTTCTCCTTGTGCCTTTCAGGCAAACGAAGACTTGAAGAGAAGGACTGAGGCGGTTCTCCTTGTGCCTTTCAGGCAAACGAAGACTTGAAGAGAAGGACTGATGCGGTTTTCCTTGTGCCTTTCAGGCAAAAGAAGACTACTAGTAGTTGAAGCGAAGACTGAAGACTGAGGCGGTTTTCCTTGTGCCTTTCAGGCAAACGACGACTTGAAGAGAAGATCAAGGCGGTTTTTCTTGTGCCTTTCAGGCACACGAAGACCAGAAGAGAAGCAAGCACCCGCGGTGGATATCACCCTTCTCTTCTGTTTCTTCTCCGCCCCCCTCAGTTCACGGGAGGAGGAGCATCACGGTCTTCTCCGCCAGTAAAGGTACTATCCTCTTCCTTTCAAAGCAAGTTGCTTTCAGTTCTTGCTGTTTTTATGTCTTGTTGTTGTTGTTTTTTTTTTTTTTTTTTTTTTTTTTTGAACTAACATTCTTATGGTTTCTTGTTGTGCGCTGCAGGTTCAGCATGGAGCCGCGGAGGAAGATATCACCTCCCTTTCTGTCTCTTTCTTCTCCTCCCCCCCCAGATCAGGGGAGGAGATCAACGGATAGGATGTTTCTACTCCAACATGGAGGTGATAACTCTGACTTTTCCTCGTTTTGTTTTGTTTTGTTGTTGTTTATGTTTCAGTTTCTGATTTTTAACTAACATTCTTATGGTTTCTTGTTCTGCGCTACAGGTTCAGCATGGAGCCGCGGAGGAAGTTATCACCTCCCTTTCTGTCTCTTTCTTCTACTCCCCCCTCAGATCACGGGAGGAGATCAACGGATAAGAAGTTTCTACTCCAACATGAAGGTGATAACTCTGACTTTCCTCGTTTTGTATTTGTTTTGTTGTTGTTTATGTTTCAGTTTCTGTTTATTAACTAACATTCTTATGGCTTCTTGTTCTGCGCTGCAGGTTCAGCATGGAGCCGCGGAGGAAGTTATCACCTCCCTTTCTGTCTCTTTCTTCTCCTCCCCCCTCAGATCACGGGAGGAGATCAACGGATAAGAAGATTCTACTCCAACATGAAGGTGATAACTCTGACTTTTCCTCGTTTTGTTTTTGTTTTGTTGTTGTTTATGTTTCTGTTTTTTTTTTTTTTTTTAATCTAACTTCCCATTTGGTTGCTTCCTCTATGATGCAGGTTTAGCGAGGAGCGCGGCGTCTGCTATCACCTTTTCCTTCTCTTTCTTCTCCTCCCCCAACAGATTACGGGGGGAGGCACGCGGCAGCGGACAAACATCATCTTCGACAATGAGGTGTAAGCTCTCTTCATGCTCGTGTTTATGTTTTTGTTAGCAGTTGTTTCTTTTCGTTTTGTTTTAATTCGTTTTGATTGTTTTGTTTTGCGTTTCCTGCCAATGCGATCGTATCACCTTCTCTTCTCTCTTCCACCCCCAGATCATGCCGAAGAACAGCAGCTGCGGGGTTACTGGGCCAGGCGGAACGTTAGGGGAGTTTATCTGGCGACGCACGAACTGTTAGACCGTTAGAACCCGCGACCTCGCGACGTGCGAACTGGCAGGCGCGTTAGAACCCGCGACCTGGCGACGTGCGAACTGGCAGACGCGTTAGAACCCGCGACCTGGCGACGTGCGAACTGGCAGACGCGTTAGAACCCGCGACCTGGCGACGTGCGAACTGGCAGACGCGTTAGAACCCGCGACCTGGCGACGTGCGAATTAGCTGACGCGTTAGAACCTGCGACCTGGCGACGTGCGGACTGACTGGCCGACCGACATACCGAACGTATGGACCCTCTACCTGGTCCGACTTCTTCGGCTGCTCCTGAAGCAACAACCGACTTCTTCCGGATGGCATCATCGACAACTTGAGGTGTCCTGCCGGATGGCAGTCTAACAATAACGTTTTGCCCTCTTTTTCCCAACAGGCCCCAGACGATTGACCTCCACCTCATCGCGGTGTCTGGGTGTAACGC